AACCTGGGGAGCAATGTGATTTTTAAGGGGGACAATTCGAGAATGAGTTATTAATAGTGAATTTTTTGCATTTCTTATGGTTCTAGGGGCCTCATATACAATATATAAATATATATTGTGACATATTATGCACTTCAGTTCTCTATTATATGTTTTGAAATTTTATTTGCTATTTTTATATCACTTCATATTATTATTTTTTTAAACAATTTCTTAGTGATTTCTTCCTCAGTACTTCAGCTGTCCTTGGGTTCTTTTATTTTTCTCTTTCATGGATACCATGTTCTTTGGAAGCTTTTTTAGACCAAGTTAATGGCCTTTTAGACTTCCTCTATGTGAATAGAACTTCACTTTTTGAATAATAAGAATTCTGTGTCACAGGGGATCATCAGGATTTTAAAGATGTGTTGGTGGGGCATGGCCAAGAAAAGGTGGGTAACCACTGCTCTAGAGTTATAAATGGACTTGGTACCAGCATCTTGACTGTCACATTTCTTGCCATGGAATTGACTGGCTAACCCCCCTACACATGGTTGTCTTCTAACAGTCCCAGCCAACTGCAGAACATGCTGTGGGCCCCAGAATAGCAGCAGTTCCCTGTGGACTTGGACTGTCCTCTCCTCTTCCCTGTGTCCTTTAAGTTCTTCTGCACTGCTGGTCCCCTTTTCCCTCAGCCCCACTTACCTTCCCACTTTTCCACAAAGAGATCAAATAAGTAGTTCTGAAAGGTACAACCCAGCCGAAGTTCCTTTGACATATGAGGATAACTCTGCCATTTAAAAAGGGGAACCAAGGAGTATTCTTACCATCACGTGTCCTTTTAAATCCAGCTTTGTTGGGTACAGTCATTAATTGCATATACCTTTTAAAAAAATTATTTTCATTTTTATTGCACAGATAAAATGTTCTTTATAATGTCCCCAAAAATATTCTCTTTAAAATGAGGAAAACAAGGGTACAAAGTTTTGTAGCATTAAAGATATCCACCTAACAGGTCTTTGTTATCATGTAAATTAAGAACTCTTAGTGAAGTAATTTCATGCCATTCTGTAGCCTTTGCTCTCCTTCCTCTGCCCGGCATATAGTTCAGTGGTCGATGGACTGTATAGCAGCATTGCTTCATTGGTCCTTTACAGACCTGCTAAGTAGTTACTTGGTTTGGACTTCAGATTTACTAGTATTGCTCACTTTTCTCTATATGCACCAATACATAGCAAGAGAAATGGAAAATCAACTACAGACAAAACAATATGTGTGCAATTATGCATAGTAAGATTTAAACTTCTTCACGTCTATAATAATAAAAGGGTAATATGCTAATTAGTCCAGAGGTCTTCTGGACATCATTCTGGACGTCCTTCCTGACAAAGCCAGGCCAGAGGGAAGCCAGCCCGGGTCCCAGGTGCCTGCGGGCGGCCTGAGGAGGGAGAAGCCTGGGTCCTGGGTGCCAGAGAGAAGTCAGTGCCGGCAGCAGGGAAAAGGAAGGCCTACTCTTGCACGAATTTTCATGCATCAGGCCTCTAGTTAGTATATATAAAGTAGTGTACCAAAAAAGGGCTCTTATTATAGACTTTAAGTTATAATTTGAAGGAAACAAATATCATATTATTTTCTCCATTTAGAAGATGGCAAACATATCAAAACACAAAAGTTTCTGTTTTTGAGGTCCCCAGTACCAAGATCCATATTTATTGTCCTGACTGGATGTTCAGGAAATGTTGCCCTATTTTCACACATACAATCTTATTTGTTCACAAGAACCACACCCTTGTCAGGACTGACTAAAGCTGTTCTTTTATGAGCATGCCAGTCACACCGTTTTGACTCTTTTCACAATAGGCTCCAATCCCTGCAACTGAGATAGTTATGTAGAAAACCACAAATCCACATTGACTGATAAGAAGGCTGGAAAAAGTGGCTTAGATAACTCTTTTCTTTTTTCATTCTGATAGAGATCTTACATAAAACTGTTTAAGACACAGTAGGTAAACATCATTTCTATTTTAACTTACCTAATAATATAAAGCTTTTGCTACTGAATCTTTTTACAAGTAAAAAGATATATTGAAAGGCACATGTGTAGAAGGAGACATTTAAAAACAGTTGATTGGCCCTAGTCAGTGTGGTTCAGTTGGTTTGGCATCATCCGGTGTACTATAGGGCTGCCAGATCAATTCCTGGTCAGGGTACATGCCCAGGTTGCGGGCTCTGATCCCAGGGAGGGGTGTGCAGGAGACAGCCAATGGATGTTGCTCTCACATTGATGTCTCTCTCTTTCTCCCTTCCCATTCCTCTCTAAAAATCAATAAAAATATTTTAGAAAAATAAATTTAAAAAGTTGATTGGAGCAATGTTATAGTAAAATGTTAGAAATAACCTAACAGCATGGAGGGACCTGGAGAGTATTTTGCTGAGGGAAATAAGTCAGTCAGGGAAAGACAAGTATCTCATGGTTTCATTCATATGTAGAATCTAATGAACAAAAATAAACTGATGGACAAAATAGACGTAGAAGCATGGAACAGACTGATGAATCTCACGAGGGAGGTGGGGGTGGGTGGGTTGGTGGGGAGAGATTAACCAAAGAACAAATGCATAGATACCTAACCCATGGACACAGACAATAGTGTGGTGAAGGCCTTGGGGGATGGCAGATGCGGGATGGAGAGGGTCAATGGGAAAAAAGGGGGACATATGTAATACTTTCAACAATAAAGATAAATAAATTTAAAAAGAAAGAATCTTGTGGCCATCACTTTGGAAGTGGATTTTAAAACTCTTGGATGGCCCTAACCCAGGGGTGGGCAAACTTTTTGACTCGAGGGCCACAATGGGTTCTTAAACTGGACCGGAGGGCCGGAACAAAAGCATGGATGGAGTGTTTGTGTGAACTAATATAAATTCAAAGTAAACATCATTACATAAAAGGGTACGGTCTTTTTTTTTTTTAGTTTTATTCATTTCAAACCGGCCGGATCCGGCCCGTGGGCCGTAGTTTGCCCAGGGCTGCCCTAACCGGTTTTCTCAGTGGTTAGAGCACCAGCTCTTGGAAGGATCACGAGTTCAATTCTGATCAAGGGCGGGTACCTTGGCTGTAGGCTTGGTCCCCAACCCCTGCCAGGGTGCATGCAGTAGGCTACCAATCAATGTGCCTCTCTCACGTCGATATTTCTCTATCTCTGTCTCTCCCCCTCTTTCCACTCTCTCTAAAAGCCAATGGAAAAATATCCCTGGGTGAGGATTAACAAAAATAAATAAATAAATAATAAATAAATAAATATCTGGAATGAATATGCATTGGACTATTATCATATTTCATCTAAGTCAGGTATCAACCAATTAAAGCCCATGGACCAATACAGCCCACTCTTTGTTTTATAAATAAAGTTTTACTGGAACATAGCTTACTCATTTGTTTATATTTTGTCCATAGCTACTTTTATGCTATAATTACAGAGTTGATTTGTTACAACATAGACTCTTTGGCTCTGAAAATGCAAATCAAATATTTACTATCTATCTCTTTACAGAAAAAGTTTACCAACCCCTGACCTAAGTTAAAATGTCATCTATTGAAAAATGCACAATTGGTTTATGTACCATTGCTAAAGAAAAAACAGTATGCCAGTTAAACTATGACAAGCTACTAATTTTAAGAATCCTAATTTTGGTAACATTAAAATATTGAAAAAATCATCTTGGAATTAATTATGATATATAGTACTTCAATAAATAAACTGCTGTGTCTATATCAACATGGACAGATCTCAAATGCTTAATGTTGCGTGAAAAACCATTTTCAGAATGATGTGAACAGTATATTATTTTATCTCTTAAGAAGCACAAAGCAATATTATGAGTTTTGATGAATGCAAATATGGGTACATAAGCATAATTTAAAAGAACTGGAAGGATTTAAAGAAAACTGATGATAGGGGAGGAGAAGGGATCAGGTTGATTATAGAAGACAAAGGAGATTTATCTCAAGCTATAATGTACAGGGTTTTATTTTAAAGGTGATTTATTAATACAAAATACATTTTTAAAGCATCAACACATGGGAAAACTGGAAGAAAATATGTCAAAATATCAAAAGTGGTAAATTTGTTATAGCAGAAGTATGGTGTAGTACAGTAGACGTATTTAATTCTATTTCACTATAATTTTTTTAAACTTCTATGAGTAACGAAAAATGAGTCATGTTCTTCATTTCTATCGCAATCAAAAGAGATTAAGGTTTGAAGAAGTGCATGTTAATCAATTACCTGGCGTTACAAGCTAATCCTGTTTTTCTACCATGGCATTAAGATTAAACAACTTGCAAGTTGGGGCCAAATTTCATAGTTAAACTTTTTTTTTCCTTAATGGTGGTACAGCTAATCTTTAAATACAATGAACTTTATTCCTCACCGTGAAAAACCACCAACTGTAAAAGTTAAATGTCAGGTGCATTTTACCGAACAGAAATAGCTTGTCATGAGTCATGTAATTGATGTACGGATGCACTTCTTTCAGCCCGACCTCACTTGTTTTGAAATGTACATTGTGATTTTACACGATTTTCTCTGTTGTCACGTGCAGTTCAGACCCTCGTGTTACTTATTAAATGATTTCATTTTTGTCACTTGTCTATAGCAGGACTTCCTAGAATATTCTCTATAAGCGTGTTCAGAAGTTCACAATTTTAAGGTATAATTGCAACACCAACAGCTTTTTCTTATTCGAAAATGAGGATCAGGTCACCTGCCACTGCTTTCATTTAGGTTTTGTTTTTGTCTTGTTGTTGGTTTAATCATGTCTTTCACTCCTTAGGAGTGTTTCACCAGAAATAGATCGAACTGCCTGCCTTTGAGACTGAGAAATGAGACGTGTCTGGGAAATGTGGACCGGGGCCTTGCGTCTGTGTGAAGCTTAGGCTGTGAGACGAAGGTCTCCTGCTACGAGGACCAAGACAGACTGCTATGTTTCTCACTGTTTAACTCCATTTTTTCTCTTTTCAGTTCCATTTCACCATTTAGTATTGAGAGCACAAGACGCCAGAGACGGTCTGAATCCCCAGACTCCAGAAAACGGCGGATTCACAGATGTGATTTTGAGGGATGCAACAAAGTGTACACAAAAAGTTCTCACCTGAAGGCTCATCGGAGGACACACACAGGTACAGCTCCGCAGGGCTTCTCGCCGAGGGTCAGGGAGAGTCCCAAAGGGCCAGCAGCTCACCTCCAGAGCCACGAGGTGCTGGATGGTGTCATCGCATGCATTTCCTCAGTTCAGTTCCTTTCTGAGCAGAATGCTTTCCCTCCCTCAGCTGACAAAGGCTTAAGTCTTAGTGAACTTTAGCAACCAGTGAAGTATTTCTTCTATGTCTCTGCAAAGTAATGGAAAAGGTATCCTCAGGTGAGGATTAACAAAAAATAAATGAAAATACATAACCACACTATATTAACCATTTCCCAGCTGAGGTAATAAAGTCATTCACGTCATCCTTTGCCATTTTTGAGCCACGTTCTTATAAGAGACACTTGCAAGGCTCCTTTCCAGAGACTGCCCCGCGACTCCTCACGTGAAAGCAGGGGTCGTGTGTGTGTGTGTGTGTGTGTGTGTGATGATGATGATGATGATGAAGTGATGGCAGAGGAGGAGGCCTGCCTGAAGTCACAAAAGCATTATTAGATCAGAAATTGACTTTTTTTGCTCATTTAATGCATTATACTTTTAATACTTACAAAATAATCAACACATTTTGCAAATTCCCTCTTCCCTCTTCCTTCCCTGCCTCCAGTACCTTCCCCTTTTTCCACTGAGTTTCAGTTTCCTCCCTCTCCATTGTTCCTGAGCTTCCCCAGGAGAAGTTTTCCTCTGTTTCTTAGGTACTATTTTTGAATCAGTTTCTTTATCATTGGGGCAAAGAATGAAGTATAGAGAGATGAAAATGAGTAACATGTTTTACTCTATCACTAGATAGTGAACAAAATTATAGTATGATCAAGTCATAGTACTTTTATGGCACCATTTCTGCTTAAATAATAAAAGAATGACCTTTCTTCAGTTAGTCATCGTATATTTTAAATTACCTTCCTTTTCCTGAACTTTCTAAAATACATATTAGCCTCATTTTCATACAGACACCTCTATTCCATTTATCCAAGTGATGAACAGTGACAGAGAGGAAAAGGTTTAACTTGGTACTGTTGAGGGATATGACTCCATGGCGTTACAAGATTACAAGTTTTACCATATACTGTGGAAGTAGGGCAGACATGATGTACGCATTGTAATTCAAAGCAATATAAACATTGCATGCTGAAGTGGAATTCATTAGCTTGGCTTACTAGTCAAATGAAGTCATAGACTTCTGGGGTCCAAATGCTTCAAAATCTAGTTTGTTTCCTAACTAGGGGGATCCTGTGGGTGTCATCTCTCACAGAGGTCAGGTCACTGCTGTGCTGCTCTCTGCACACTTATACACCTTTGATTTAACCTTCACACCTGTGACTGCAGTTGTCATCATCTCCTGTGTGTACAAGTGTGGTTCCTGATTGAGTATTGTTCACACAGCTATCATTTTCCCATCTCTCTTCAAGCACTTTGAGTGTCAGAGAGCTTATTCTTATGCAAAATAAGTTGGGTGCCATTTCTGAGGGCATATTCTTTGTATAGTAGATAGTTAAATACTTGGGTTTAAAATCAGTAAAGAGTTAGTAACTAGACTAATAATTTGTGTTTTTTAAGTGAGACATAATTGACATATAACATTGTATAAGTTTAAGGTGTACAATGTGTTGATTTGATATATTTATGTATTGCAATATGATTACTCCCATATCTTAGCTAACAACTCCATGGTGTCACGTAATTATCATTTCTTTTTTGTAGGGAGAACAGTTTGTTTACTATAATCACCACGCTGTGCATTAGATCTCCAGAACTTATTTATCCCCTAGTCATAAGTTTGTACCATTAACATCCTCTCTCTTGCCATGTTGAATAGTTTCTTACAGTGGTGTTTGGCTCTCGGTCCCTTGACTGGGCTAACTCCAATTATCACACTGTAATTTTCACTTCCTGACCCTGGTGCTCCTCATAACACGGGCATGAACCACTGGCACCTTCATTTCTCCAGACACCCTCAGTTCTCTCAGCCACATCTTTCTAGATATACTCCAAGTTATCACTGTGTCTTTTTCAGTTTTCCACACCACAAGTTGAGGGAACAGGTCTTGTTAATGGACATCTCTTAACAGAGTCGAAGATAATGTTAAGTCTTTTAACAGTTGATTTTCTGTTAGGTCATCTAAATTTAAAAAAAGAAAAACTGCTGAAAACTAGGTCTTGTCCATCCCCTGTACCTGTAACTGATTTCTTTTAAACCTAAACATGCAAATGATGGCTCCTTCGGGACTGCACACATACCTCAGAGATATTGCAGGTTCAGTTTCAGACCATTGCAGTAAAGCGAGTCATAATATTTTTATTGATGGAGAGTTTTGCCTTCAGTTTGTTACTTAAAAAAAAACACACACAAAAAAAACAAAGGTGTGAACACCTGTGAATCACAATAAAGCAAAGCTCAATACAGCAAGATATGCCTTAGTGGGTTCCTCTCCCTGGGTGTGTGTAGCCATAGTCTGGATGATCTCCTGTAGGAGACACAGGCCAGCATCATTACTGTGAAGGCTGCGCATACACCTTCAAGTCTGGGAGATAGTTATTTTATATCCATTTTACTGATTTGGACCCATTATTCTATTAAATTGAAATGACTTTGAACCCTCTTCCCATCCAACTTGCTGTTAGTATAGTATCTGTTTCCTCCAGCTTCTCTATTTTTGCCAGATATTGAGTAGGACAGGTTCAAAGAAAAAGCTCTGAGAGCTGATCCTAGAAACTTCTATCCCTGTGGGTCTTAATTCATCAATCAGTAATTAAAATCCACCTAATTATCCGACATCTAATCCTTATTTCTTGATCCCTTAGCTACATTAAAAAGTCTATGTGAAATTCCTGCTATAAACCATATGCCAGATTCATTCATCCACTTAGCAGAGTGACATTGTGCAAGGTGTAGTTTTCTAAACTATCAATCAAAGCACAGTATTTTTCAAAAGAAAGAATGAAATTTGGTTTATTTGCTGCCACTGGTTCAAAGTGAGCCCATACTGATTCCTGATTTACATTATTTGTAAGATTTCATAACTTCGTGTTCAAAATGAAATCAACACAGGTTCTGTTGGGATTTGGTTGGCTTGCTTTGCTTTCAATAAATATCTTCTTAGCCTTACCTTTGCTTCAGGCATATTGAGCAAGTTATTTGTGTGTGACTGGCAATAATGTGAAGTTTGGGATTATGGATTATAACAGATGACTTATGAGAACTACTCATGCTATGGGAGATAAGCAAGTAGCAATGAGAAGCTTTCTTTGAGCAAGTCACATTAATTTTACCTTTAAAACTGATCTTTTGCTTTATGAGTACATGATCAAGTCCTCTATTTAGGACTCAGACAGCAAATGAAACATTTGTAAGAATGTGAAAGAGGAACATTTTCTAGATATTAGCAAGGAAGTTAGAGTTAAAAAAAGTGCTGAAGAATACCTTTATAAAAGAAAAATAATTAAGGATTATTTTGTAAATGTGCAGTTTAAATAATGGCATAAAGATTTGATCAAATATTTTAAATGTCTTAACTGACTCCTACAAGTGGTGAATTATTTAAGGCCTGTTAAAAAAGTAGGGGGAAAAAAACAAACAAATATATATATCTCAGTAATCACACACACACGTGATTGTCAACAGGTAATTGTTCCTATTCACTGGTCTAAATTGTGTGTGATTTATCTCCATGAAGCAGTGTACAGTGCATTTAAATAAATATGCAGTATATGTAAATGAATGGTCATTTAAATCTGGGCTATACACAACTACTATGTACTGTGAATTTCTCTTATTTCATTTTAAGAATTAAAGTCATTATTAAGTGATTTAAGTGTGAATTTTAGAAGAAAATATTTTCATGAATTTGGCATTGCTGTTTAGAATTCTTAATATTTTCTAAAAATACATGCCACAGCATTTTCTCAAAGGCAGCACAATAAGCAAATTCCACCCAGACAGCAGTGATTCCAAAGCCACTAGATGGTGCACTAGCACCAGATGTTGGGCAGGCCTGGCCTCAGAGGGCCTGGAAAAGAGGAAGCTAGAACCCTCTAGCGGTCTGCATGACATAAGGCGATTGTCCGTGATCTGCAGAATTTCACAGTTTAATGATGAACAAGGAAAAGGCAAAATAAAGATAAATGGTAAATTTTAAACCAGAATTTTAAGAAAGTAATTGCAACATATTAAAATATTTAGTTCCAAATGAATCTGGAAAGATTTTATATTCCAACGTGATAGCCTGTTCTCTAATAAATCTATGAGGCTCATTTAGCCAATCTTATCTAATATTCATTTTAATTCCTGTGAAAACTGTATACTTAAATTTTAAAATTAGTAAACATAAAGAAGTCACATTTCTTATCTATGTTTGTCAAAATTATTCATATATGAATTTTACACATCCAGGACTTTAACTCACAAAGATGCTTTTAAAATATGAACCAATTTTGAATTTAAAATCTCTAAAATATGTCCTTTCCTACTTTTACAAATGAATGAAATGATGCACTATTTAGCTCTTCCCTTGAGGAACGAAACCTTTGTAATTAATACCATATGCTATAATTAATATCTGATAATGGTTTTGTATTTGGAATGCACACATAGACGCATATACACATCAATCTTGAATGCTTACAGACCCCAGCCTTTTTCACTTTTTTTTATTCACCTCATTCCTTCTCGTTGCTCTTCCTATATTTCTTGCTTCTAATTTGACAACTTGTTCTATTGGATGAGATTCTGAAATGGTTTGATGATGTTTCTACAAAGAAAAGCATGTGTTCTCTGACAGCTATGCATCTTGGTGGCCTTTAGTTCACAAGTCCGTGGTCGCTAATCTTACCTTTGGTAGTAGTGTGCTGCCTCTGCTTTCACATCTATCTTCATTAATTAAATAACTCATTACATATAAAGCTCCACATCAGACCCTCTGTCTAGATTCATTGTTAGATAAAGCATAGGGCTTAGTGATGTCAAGATAATTAATCACTTAAGAG